GAGCCCGACCGGCGCCGACCGGCAGCGGCAGATCCCTGACCTATACTTTAAATAAACTCATGCAGTGATGTTAAAAAACAAAAAAATATTCAGCACAATCAGAGACTTCTAAACAAAATGGTAGAGGAGGGGGATAAGTGTTCAGAGTCATGCATCCTTGTGGGTTGTGCACAAAACCTATTGAAAGTCATGAAGACATTAATATTTTCTGATCCAAACGAAATATTTTTCCTCACAAGTTTCCCTATTACTATACAGCTTACATGTAGTTCATTTCTGTAAATTTTTTGGTCCAAAAATTCCTTTGCTAACTTTTTACCTATGTGTGTTACATGTACATTTTAAAATTTAGTTTAAAAAAAAAGAAGAGTTTTTGAATGATTTTTATTTGGAAATAAAGAAAGGTACATGTGTACATGTACATGTACGTAAAAAACATAAAAAGAAATAAATACATACATGTAAATAAAAAAATAAGAGGCCCTATTTGAAATAAATCACAGATCCTCACGTGAGCCTTCAGAAATATACTGTACTTTTAAATTAAAACAGGGTTTGGCATCATCACTCTCTCATGATAATAGGCCTTCACCTACATGTACATTGTTTCTGACACTGATTATTTGCTTACCATTTAATAAGTATGAGGCAAACTTTGTTGAACAGCACTATCAATTTTGTACTCGGCCTTATTTTTCATTTTTTCGTTGGTCCAATTTTAGTGCTCCAGCGTGGCCGTGTTGGTATTTCCCCATGTCTGAAAAACGTAATTAAGTACATGTAGCAGCCCCTTTTCTATGACGTTTTCTAGTACATGTAAATTACACGAAATACACAAGGTTTGATGATGTACTAGTACAGTGTGGTTACAGGTCTATCATTTTATTTTGTCCAGAAAATATATATGAAAAACCATTTGAAATTCACTCTTCTGAACCAGGTCAAGTATTGCATCAAAATGGTCATCAAAACCTGTAATAATTTTATCAAAGATGACTACAGACTTTCTGCTTTCTATGATTGATTATTTTTCAGTTGATCTGTGAAATTTGACAGAGTTTTACCGATCAGCAAAGTATAAGGTTGCACTACACCAAATACCCGCCCATAGAAAACAGTGCAAAATCAGACTAAAATAGCACCACCTGTTGACTCTTGTGAAGAAGTTGGCCTCCGCTTTTTCACTGGAAATTCAAGATTACAGCCAGAAGATCACTGTTCGTTTCAATTTATGGGGGTTAGCCACAAATTACTTTTTATTCCTCTTTCTCTGAAGATACCTCCAAAATAGCAGTAAAACTGTGCACTCAGCTCTGAATGTAGCTGCCCGCTTCTATCCAAAATACACAGTGTAGGCCTGCAATTTGGGCCTTTTTGTGAAAGAAACACCCCGAACTGGAAACTATCAGTGACAAATTCAGGATTTCCCTCCTGATTATGGTATGTCTTATTGTAAAAACCCCTTGGGATCACAAAATATTAATGAGCTTGTGTGCAGAAATACAACCACTTGGTGGAATGCACCCATTAAGCCACAACTGGTCTATTTATTTTTGTAAAGATTTTACATACACTTTTTTTCTAATCTTTTCTTTCAAAATTTATTTTTGACTATTTCTATTATGCTTTTCAAAACCTAAAAGGAATTTCTGTTTCGGTTACAATCCATTCTGTGTATTCTTACTGCCTGTACAATTCAAAATAATAGCCCTAGCTCGTGTCTCTTTTTAGTAATACTAATAGGCCTACATCATTGTAACTTTCTTATTTTTTGTCAGAGGAGGGTCGTCTTTGTGATACTGGAAAGCTTTTTTTCAAGACTTTTCAACGGTATACATTGCAGTAGCATTTATAAACCGAATTTTTTGCCACAATACATGTAAGGCTTATGCCATACTACATTTGAACAATTTGATTACATGATACGCATATTAAAAAACAAAACTCTACTCTGACTTTACATGTACATGTATAGAAAACTCTAAGTCACCCTGACAATATCTGGCAATTTCACTGAATACTGGAAACCACCTGTCTATCACTGTGGACATGATGGAGAAAAAGTAGGCCTAAAATATACTGCCATGACTGCCTATAATGTTAAGCTTACCAACCATTAGGGCCTAGGCCTACATGTACATGTACATGTAGATGTCAGTGACACGTACCGGTGGGCATGGGCCTAGCCTATAAAAACAATTTTTTCTTGCAAACAGAAAATAAAAACAGTGCCATGATTACTGTTAATCAATATCAATTAAAACAAATTAAATACAACACCTGTCTCAAGCATAATAATAATT